GAGTAGCTGGATAGAACAGGTGAATTTACGCAGCTCATTTACACACTTTTCCTGACGATAGAAGAGTTTGTTGAATCTGACATGACATGTTCGTACGAACCCTTTGTACGAACAAAAGTAAGAGAAATTTAGGATAAGAACATGAACATGTTCTTGCATGAGGCCCAATGAGTTTAATTACGACCTAACTCATGAGCCAACAGGAACTCTGATTGCACCCAGAAAACAAAGTGAGTTGTTGTTGTATTTGTTGTTGTTGTTTCATTTTACAGATGTTTGTGTAAACACCTTCAGTTTTGCATCACATTGTCACTTTTATAGAATTCTGTCACTATGGAATGCGGCACCAAGTGTAAAATGAAATGTTAAAAATGTCACTAACACGTTTACATTATTTAGCTCACTTTTTGAGTGTAAAATCTTAGTAAACAATCCAATTCCAATATTTTATCATTAGCTTGCTGTTCTTACATTTTGCTATTTTTTTTTTTTTACTAAATGTTAGATAATTTCTGTACAAATTAAATCCTAATTCTACCACTGCACCGTGGTTCAGTGGTAGGGCAGCCGACAGGGGACCAGAAAGTCACAGGTTCAACTCCCCACTATGCCCACATGTTGTGGTGTTCTTGAGCAGGACCCTCCAACTGTTCCCCAAGCGCTTACATAGCTGCCCGCTGCTCCACTTGGGTTTTTCTCGTGKGATGGCTCAAATGCAGAGCACAGATGTCACCATTGTATGAGAACATGCATTGATGACAAATAAAGTACCTTTTATTTATAGAAATCTAAATGCAAAAAAAAAAAACATTTCAAATGTTGCAGCTAAATTAGCCTGGTAAAAACCAGCCCTTTGTTCTACTCTTTGCTTCATACACAGGGTCCGGACTCTCAGCTATTGAGAAGCAATTTATTTTTTTATTTTTTATTTTTTTGCTGTAGGCGTGGTCTCTGTTGAAGTTTAAAATGATTGGATCTGATTTACCCAAACACTAACGTTTGGCCGTGATGCGTGTGTACCAGTTTGTCCATGTAGGAAGCTAAGCTAAGAAGCTAACCTGAAATAGCATGTGCTGTAAACAACCATCAGCTACTGGGAAGAGAGAAGTACTGAGCTGAACGAGATGACTGTAAATGAGAGCTGCAGGCTTTGAGAGACACGTTTAATTTAATATGTAAGCCTTGTCAACGCCGAGTTAATGGCTTCATTCACTTCCTTCAGTGCCGTTGCTAAAATACAGACAGGCTAAAACAGCACAGAAAATTGACATCGCCATTAACAACTCCTTCTGTTCATTGATTGGCTCGGCTAAAATTCTACCAGAGAAATGTGAGAAATCCCAGACTTAGCAGAGATGGGAGATTAGAGTGGAAATGAGAAGGAAGGCAAGGGCCTGGCTACATTTAAAGGTCCCCACATACTCGGGCGTACTTCAGTCCGTGGAGGTCTGCGCGGACTCGAAGCGGACGTCCGCACAGATATCAATTTTTTACGTCCGCGTCCGTGGTGTCGTTCAATAAACTGCCCGGCGAGTTCACGTTAAACTGCTTTGGATGCGACACCAAGCTGATAAAATTGAGAATCTGTGTCATTTGTGGATGAAATGGAGTCAAATTTTGAAGAGCGCCTCATAGAGGAGATTAGAAAACTTTATGATGCGTCAATGAAGGAATCTAAAGACTGTGAGCAAACAACAAATTTATGGGAGGAAATAGCTCCGATCCTGGTAGTTCTTTTCTTTTTTTTTTTTCTTTTGTTGTTTTAAAGCTAAAATGCAAACTATCTCTTCCTCCTCATCCTTGACATCATGACTGAAATTGCGAGAAATTAAAGAATTCTTCAGGTGGTCAGTACGTTCAAGTATGAAGTGTCAAACATCCGTGGACAATATGCGCAGAGTCCGGGTGGCTCATGACTAGCGCACAGTGCGCCCGAATATGTGAGAGCCTTAAATGTCAAAGTACATTTAAGTGTGTGTTTTGGAATGGAATCCAGCTTTTGTCATTGGTGCACGGCTTTTATTATGACGTCGTCATCATAACAAAGGATGATTGTAACATTGCTAATACTGCTAACCCTGTCCTACAACTCATCAAACTTGCAGCTGCAGCCAGGGTCCCAGCTGTACTTCCAACTACCATATTGTTTTTAATGAACACATTTTGAATTTAAAGTTGAAATGCCATCTTTAGCAGCGTTAGAAGCATTAGCAGCCTTTATGTACCAGGATGATGACATCACAAGAAAAACTGTGCACCAACAAAAATCTAAATGTAAACTTCAACATTAAATGACAACATTTAAATTTTACATTTAGTAAGACTTGGAAAAATGTAAGGACAGTGAGATAAATAACAGTAAATGGATAGTGGAAATTTTTAACACTCAGAAATTGAGCTAAATATTGAAAAAATGTTGTGTGACATGTTTGAACATTTTATTTTACATTTAATGCTCCATAGTCAGGTGTAGTCCTTCTTCTGCAGACACAGCGGGTAAAATAAGTATTTAACACGTCACCATTTTTCTCAGTAAATATATTACTAGAGG